CCAACTCTAGCCAAAAGCCATTACATATCATAAATATAACTATAATAGACCAATCTAATTAATGAAATCAAGACTTCAACAAGAAATTTGAAAATCGCCCTAAAAAATCTCCCCGGGCCCACGTCTCAACATCGGGTAAAAGTCACAAAATATGAACACCCATTCACTCACGAGATCACTCGTACCTAAATTATCCAAATCCGATATCAAAATCCCAATCAAAACCCAAAATCTTAGTTGAAGAACTTCTACCCTTTTCTCCCCAAATTTCTCAACAAAAATCCTCAATTAAATGATGAAATCAACAATAGATTAGTAGGATATAACCATAAATGAGTTAAGAATCGTTACCTAAAATCTTTCTCCGAAAATCCCTCAAATAATCGCCCAATCCGAGCTCTCAAAGTCCCAAAATAAAAAATGTGATAAAACCCTCGAACTTGCCCTTTTCTGCCTAGCGATTTCACATCTACGGGCCTATAATCGCACCTACGGAAGTTCCATTGAGGTGCGGACTTAACTTAAATCCCCTGGGTCCACATCTGCGATAAGGTGGCCGCACCTGCGTGTGCACACCTGCAGACAATGGTCCGCTTCTGCGATCTCCCTCTGCACCTGCGATCCCTCTAGCGCATCTACTAGCATCGCAGATGCGGTATTTCCCTCGCACCTGCGACCTCTGAAAACTCCTCCCATATCCACTTCTACGCCTGACCTCACAGACGTGCGATCCCGCACCTGCGGTCCCCCAACCGCAGGTGTGAAAACACTAGCAACCAACAATCTTCAGCAATTGCATAAGTCCAAATTTCAATCCGTTGAGCATCCGTAACAGACCCAAGTCCCCCGGGACCTCAACCAAACATAAAAACAAGTCTAAATCACAATAAGAACTTAGTCGAACCCTCAAATCACATCAAACAACGCTAAATACATGAATCACCCTCCAATTCAAACTTAATGAACTTGAAACTTCAAATTTCTACAACCGATGCCGAGCCTATCAAACCACGTCCGATTGACCTCATATTTTGCACACAAGTCATATACAATATTATGGACCAACTCCAACTTCCGGAATTGGAATATGACCTTGATATCAAAAAGTCCACTACCGGTTAAAAATCTCCAAAAATTTGACTTTCGCCATTTCAAACATAAATCAGCTACAGACCTCCAAGACACAATCCGGACACGCCCCTAAGTCCAAAATCACCCAAAGAAGCTAATGGAACCAATAAAACTCCATTCCAGAGTCGTCTTCACACAATTCTGACTACGGTCAAAATCCTAAGGCTTAAGCTTCTGTTTGGGGATTAAGTCTCCCAAAACACTCCTGAACCAAAAACAAAACTTCCCGGCAAGTCACATAAGCAGAAAAAGATACGGGTAAAGCAGTTAATAGGGGATCGGGGCTATTACTCTCAAAACGACCGGCTGGGTCGTCACAAATACTCAAAACGACCGACTAGGTAGTTACATAGTGAATTTTTTTGCTCAACATTAAAATTGCTGCCTAAATACTAAATACCACCTTAAAAAGTGGCCACCCCACACTATTTCCACGATTTTCTCAGACATGAATGATTTAATATTTACTTTTTCTAGTCGATATACATAGATTATATATTGTTATACATACATAATACATACATATATATATTCCGACTATTTTTAATTTAAGTGGTTGGGTGAATAGTTATGTAAGTTAATTCTTCATAAAATGATTCAAAAATTTCTTGTGATTTGTAGAATACATCACATAATAATTTATCTATACCTAAAACTAATCTAATGAGTTTAATTAAACATAAATGTAAAAAGTACCATTTAATTGTATTATCCAGCTATATTATATTGGTCTTCGAATTGAATTGTTGCTTAGTGAAAAATAGGAGTGGCGACGGACCAAGGCAATATATGGGTTTAATGGACAAGGTAGTGTAAAACACTAATGCAGCAGCGCAGTGCGGGACATGCAAACTATACAAAATTTTAAATTTTAAAAGGGCATAATAGGATAAATTCAAAAATCGGATAAATAATGAATTCGAGTGAAAAAGAAAGATTCCCTTGAGTTGTACTATAGTGTGTTGCGCTGTGCCAAGAGCAAACACATTTGGACAAGGTTTTTAATGATATAGCATTCAAATTTGGTGGTACTCAGTTACAATCTCTATGTGGCTGCTGCAGATAAATGAGTTAGTGATCGGTAGATTCAAATTAAGATAGAATACAAGTTAAATCATATGGAGAGTGATGATGCGCTTTTATTTTATTTTTTTTGGTAAAAAAAGAATTTTTATTAACCAAATGGAATAATTACAATCAAGAAAGAAAAAAAACTGGTACCTAACTCTTAAGTCCAGAAACTAGAAAATACCATAACTCCAAAAAGCACCATAACACTTCTAGCTACACTTCCTGATTACAAGTTCTATGCAGGTAGAATTTCAAGTTTTCCAACTGTGCCTTGATCTTGTATTTCATGTTACCCCGATGAAAAATCTCCTGGATGACCTTTTTTATAATAGTTTCTACACTTGTATTTTTGCCTTGAAAAATCCTCATGTTCCGCTCTTTCCATACATGATACACACAACCCGCAACAGCCATTCTATAAATGTGTGCACTAGCAGCTTTCCCCTTGCAATTATTCATCATCCATTCCAGTTTCTTTTCCCAGGTTAGAGCTTGTCAGCTGATATATTGCCAGTGAAGCAGCTTGCTCTATACTTCAGCAGCGAAGTGACACTTAAAGAAGAGGTGAGACATTGTCTCAGGTTCAGCCAAACACAAAGGGCACTCTATATTCACATTTACTCCCCACTTATCAAGTCTATCCTTGGTAGCCAATCTTTCCAAAGTAGCCAATCTAACAATAATGATCCATTAGGGAATTCCATAGTTATTACATACTAATCTCCTCCAAGGTACCTTTGGAAAAATACCCAACAACTTCTGATATAAGGCTTTGATAGTGATGGTTTTAATATCCTGAAAGCTTGTAGAGTCATACCCAGCGTCTTCAAAATATTTCTTAGCGTTAAAAATCTTCTGAATCACCCATGAAGCTTGTCTGGGATATGTATCCCAAACTAGTCCCTGTTTCACATAGTAGGTATGTACCCACTTGTATCCAAAGTGTATCCTTTTTCTTAATTAGATTCCATAATAATTTGGCAATTGCTGCTTTATTCCATATTTTGACATCTATCAGGCTCAACCCACCAGCTGACTTAGGGTAGCATAGCTTATCCCAAGCAATTAGAGCCTTTTTTGAAGTTTCAATACTCCCTGTCCATAAAAATCTTCTACATACTGCTTCAATCATTTTGGTAATCTTTTTTGGAAGAACAAATACTTGGGACCAAAATGTCTGTATAGAAAACAGTACACTTTTAATCAGTTGGACCCTACCTACATAGGATAGGAATTTTGTTGTCCATGACGTTATTCTTCCAGTCATCTTATCCAAAAGAGGTTGGCACTGCAATACGGATAACCTTTTTGTGCTTAGGGGCACTCCAAGATACCTAAATGGCAATGCACCTTTACTAATTCCAAGTATCTGAAGGATCTGCTGTTGTATCACTTCCTTCACCCCACCAAAATAAATTGAGCTCTTGGAGGGATTAGAGATTAGTCTAGATGCATCTGAAAACATCTTGAAGCAATCATATAGGTGAGTGATAGATGTCATGTCTCCTCTACAAAATAATAGTAAAGCATCAGCAAACCCAAGTTGAATAAGTTTCAGATTAGAACACTTTGGATGGTACTTGAAATTTTTAGCAGTATCCAACGTGTTCAACATTCTGCCAAAATATTCCATGACAAGCACAAAAAGGAAAGGGGATAGGGGATCCCCTTGTCTCAATCCCCTTTTATCTTCAAAAGGTATGTTCCGCTTTCCATTGATGACAATAGAATAAGAAACTGTTTTTACACATGCCAGGATCCACTTTAAGAACTTCTCGCGGAAGTTTAGGTTAATCAAAACCTGCTCAAGGAAAGGCCATTCTACTGAGTCATAAGCCTTTTCTATATCAATCTTAAACATACGCCTTGGGGAGATGTCCTTCATACTATACCCTTTGACCAATTCGTGTCCAAAAATAATGTTATCTGCTATTATCCTCCCCGGAACAAATGCAGCTTGACTTGAGTCTATTAAACTATCCATCGCTCTTTGCATTCTCCCAATAATGATTTTTGAAATGATTTTGTACACTGTAGTACAACAGGAGATGGGCCTAAACTCTTTGATGGTGGAGGCATTTTTTACTTTTGGTATTAGTGTTAGAGATGTACAGTTGAGAGGCTTGCACATATTAGCAGACTCAAAGAAACCAAAGACTGCCTGAGTGATGTCTTCACCCACAACTGACCATGCTTTCTTGAAGAAAACTGCATTGAAACCATCAACACCTGGGGCCTTGTTGTCATCTACTTCATTAAGAGCATCATATACTTCCTGCTTAGTAACGGGGGATATAAGCTCCAATTGTTGTTGTCTAGTTAATCTATGCCCCAACTTGAGTACTCTAGGATCAATAGCAGGAAGATGAGTAGCAGCAGTACCAAGTAACTTCCTATAGAAATCAATAATCTCATGCTCAACAACAGTTTCAGAGTTCAGCAGGATATCCTCTGCATTTACTAACCGTCTGATCTGATTTTGAACCTGTCGCCCTTTCATACTTGCATAGAAAAATTTAGTATTGAAAACCCTTGTATTCAACCATTGTATCCTAGACTTTTGTGTAGCTATGCCTTCTTCAATTAAGGACCATTTTCCTAACTGCAGCTTCAGCTCCTTCTCCTCTTTAAAAAGATCATGTGTCTGACTAGGATCTTCCATTCTAGCCTGTATTTCATCAAGATGACCTCTGAGTTTAATAATTTTGTTCTCAATACCAGAGAACTCCTTTTTATTCAGTTGCTTCATTGCATGTTTAACATTCTTCAGTCATTCCCATATCTTATACATGGAATGCTTATAATCTGGTATCGACTCTCACAAGTTGGATGAAATTTGGATGATCAGATAGGCAGTTAAGGAACCTGAATGGCCTATGACCTCTACCAGGAGCGTCTTCAAAACTTATTGATATAGGGGAATGATTTGAGCATCCCGAATCCATAATTGTGGCTTCTAAATGAGGCATAACATGTATCCAATCTGAATTGACAAAGGCCCAATCTATCTTGCTGAATACATGTGAATTTGTCCAAGTATATCTTCTACCCACATATATTAATTCCACAAAACTAGAGTCAACCAGGAAACTTCTAAAGTCTCTGGTTTCCACATCTTGGACAGGTGCACCCCCTATTCTATCTTCTGCATCTATAATAGAGTTGAAGTCTCCCATAACTACCCACGGACCCTGCACTTTGTTAGCTAGATTGCCAAGTCCAGTCCACAAACTTCTTCTATCCTGGATAGTATGTAGACCATAGACTATTGTGAAAGTAAACTCCACATTTAATGCATAAATTTTAATCAGACCATGTATGTACAGAGTTTGTGTTTCAATCAACATAAAATCCACCAAGTCGAGATCCCACATAATCCAAATTCTTCCCCTTATACCTGCATCATAGTTAGCATACCAACTCCATCTTCTAGTAACTTTCTTCATTATTAGATTAGCATGTTGCTCCCCAACTCTATGTTCTATTAGTGCAAGCATACCATTCTTATTTTGATTGATAAACTCCTTCACCTCCTTCTGCTTATATACTTTATTTAGTCCCCTAAAATTCCATGTAACCACATTATGATATTGCAAAAGGTTGGGTACTAGGACCCGACATCTCATGGCTACACTGTCCTCTGTCCTTCACTGCATCCGTAAAGCCATGCACACTTCTTTGATCCTCTAGCATACTAAAACCATTATTAGTTGGCACTTTATTTGTAGAAGCATTGGTAATTGTTTGAGCCTTACCTGCTGACTTGCCCCTGACCTCTTGCCACTCTTTACTACCCTGTTGAGTAGCCTTCTCTGTTTTGATATCTTTCTGTTTTGCTAATGCTTGGCTAACAACATTTGCCTTCTGTGGTAACACATTATTTTGTATTGTGCCTACAGCATGTGTCATGTTAATTGGTTTCTCCATTTTTTGTTCCTGTGATTGTTTGCTTTTCCAATGTAAATTTGGCCTCTGGACCTTCTTATTTGGTTGTTGTACCACTTGTTTACCTTTCTCTACACATATGTGATCAACTTTTAGGCCGTCATTGCAATATTCTGGAATTCAATCGTAGTCAACAGCTTGTTCAAATTCACCATTAGGATCTTGTACCATAATGCTTTTTGGTAGTGGCCTAGAGATGTCCATTTCCACTAACACCCTGGCATATGAGATCCTATCTACACTAGATGTGCAGTCATCCGCATATAATGGAGTGCCCAAACTTCTACTAAGTCGTCTTAGTGATCTCTTACTCCAACAATTCAATGGTAAATTTGGGTACTGAACCCATATTGGAATAGTTTTCAAAACTTCATCATGGAAATTAAATTTTGTAGTCCATGGTTTAAATATAATAGGCTTGCTATTTATGGTATGTGACCCAGAGTATAACACTTCATTTTTATCTTCTAAGCTATTAAAGAGAATAACAAAGTACCCCTCATTATGATAGTAGATTCTTGGTTTAGCTATGAAGTTCCATTGAGCAGCAATGAATCGTTCTAGTGCACCGATTGTGGGAGAAGCTCCAACTACGTACAGGTTATGGCCTTCCTCCATTTGTCATTTTCTACTTCAACCTCCTCCTTTTGAAGTTGTACCACTTTGACCCCGTCTTGAATTAGTGGCGCAATGTACTCTAAGTCCATCCCCTTCGCAGCAAATTTGTTCCCAGTAAAGAGAGTAGCCCATGTCTTTCCCTCTGTTTCAATAGGAATGTTCAAAATCCTTTGCGCACCACTTGGTTCCTCTGTCGCCGACATTCCAGCTCCTACCTCAGCCATCATTGACCATTCATTCCTTGCATTCTCTGTAGGTCTTGGGGTCTGCTTCCTAGTTTTTCCTACTGAGTTTGCATCGAAATTTTGCTTTCCTTCCACCCGAATCGGAGAGGTAAGGGTTTTTTCCATTGAAGACACATTCGAGATATGCTTTCCATCCACCCTAATTGGAGAATTCAGGGTTTTTTCCATTGAAATCCCACCCGAATTTTGCTTGCTTTCCACCCTCAGGGGAGACTTAAGGGTATTTTCCGCTGGATTAAGGGTCTTTTCCACTGAATTTGCGACTGTAATTTGCTTTCCTTCTACCCTATTAAGCGGAGTTATGGCAGTCCCAAGCTTAGCTGGGGTAGTATTCATCAACACACTTACTGTAACACTAGGCCCTCCTTTGAGCCCTAGTTCGTCTTTCCCAACCAATCGACGATTGGCCTTATTCACCTTCACAGCTGAGATCTCGATCTTCTTCACTGCCTTTTTTCGCCCGGCCAATTCCGACGAGGCGTACTGTAGAAACACCACTATCGTGCGCCTTGAGAGTAAAAAGCTAGAGAGAGAAAGTCATTAGGACTTTTCTCCTTATCTTTATGATGATGCGCTTTTAGTAATAGAGAAATATTCCACTTTTATGAGGGTGGCTAAACAATAATCTTATAATAGATTTCAGCGTATTATTGTGACTAGACACAACCAACATGATCAGCCGACCGAGATATCTTTTAGGAAGATGAAAAATAATTTGAAATTGCCGATTTTAGGCTAATGGATAGTGATACTCATGAACTGAGTATAGTTCGGGAATAACTTATTTGTGTTTTATCTAGTCCGCTGAGAATTAGGCTAAGTTAGGGTTGGACAAATATATCTCAATTAAAATGACCTTGAAATTTTTTGTGATATGTGAAATACATCACATTATAATATATCTATACTTAACTAATCTTATGAGGTAAATTTGACATAAATATAAAAAGATACCCTTTAATTGTATTAATTGTATTATATATTGGTCTTATAATTGAGTTGTTGCTCGGTGAAAAATAAGACTGGCAATGGAGTAAAGGAAGAGTCTTAAGGGGACATACTAGAGCGATGTATTAATGGGGTTAGAGTAGTGAAAGACATGTAGGAGAATTACGGAAGAAGTTTATATTTTAATTGGAGGGTTAGTCGAATACTCAAGCCAATATTCAATTCGAGTTACTCTTAAAAAATTTCAAAAAGAATTAAGGAAAATGACACCATGATATGATAACTTGTGATATTATCCAAATATGTTGGACTGTTTGGGCGGTACTATCGGGTTGTGTTAGATCAAAAATGCGCAAATTTGACACGCTTGTCTATTATTGATGAAGTGCATTGCAACGTGTTCCCAAACTCGAAATAAATTAGGTATTAATTGCAAAAGGCCAAGATAAAAACAATTTCATTCTTATTCCCGCCGACATATTTCATATTCCTTCACAATATTTTTGACATCCTCAAATAATGTAGAGCCAATAGAATATGGCTATGATCTTTTGATGTGTAACATATATGCTAGAATGAACCCCCAATCTACCCCCAACCCCACCTCGCTGCTCAATAGTGTGGAATGTAGTTCATGGATTAGCTTTTTCTCTAGTTGATCATAATTTTCTACCCATACTTTTCTTTGATGTCTCATAATCTCTTGATCAAACCGCATATTTGAGATCACTAATGTGTCAATTCAAAATTTGAGAAATGAGTTCTTAACCTCAATGTACCGACCCAAAATTTATCTAGTCGTGATAGCATCTAACCCAACCTGCTAGGTAAGCCAAGTAACAATCAACACAACTCAAATGAGAATAATAAATGTAAATGAGTAAAATAACTGAAGTTCTATACAATCTTCCAAGGATTGGTAGTACAAGTCACGAGCTTCTAAGACTTAGAATTTACAAAGCTGGTATGAAATAAATAAATCATTTGTTCGAAATATACATAAACAAATATGCAAATCTAAAGCTACCAAGGACAAGTAGCTGCTATAATCGGAACGCAGGTACATCTTCCATGCCAGCTCCCGCCATAAGTGTAGTATGAGTACAACCGACCATACATATTCAGTAAGTAACAAACCTAACCTCGGGTTGAAAGCAGTGACGAGCTCGGAAGAAGGTCAGAGTCCAACACCAATATCCAATCACAACTCGTAATAATATAATGAGAAAACTAAAGGTAAATAACTCAAGAGATATATGCTCAGCTCGTTCACAGTTACGGGAAAGCATGCATACTTTTCAAGTATAATGGTCAATTCCAAATCTCACTATTGAAAATCAACTAAACATGAGTTTATCAAAAGAACTGTATTCCCAATTCACAACACCAGATAAGAATTTGTGTTTACCAATCAACATGAAGAAAGTACATCTCTATGCCTATACGTCAAGTCCTCAATTATCATATATTGTCTAGCATGAGGAATATTCATCTCTATGCCTACATGTCAAATCATCAATATCACATTACCGTCTAGCATAAGGAAAATGCATCTCTATGCCAACATGTCGAGTATGCATGTCAAAAAAATGATTTTACGGTGATATCCCCAGGTACTCTCACTCTCAACATACTCAAGTTGTCTGTCTCAATGCCCATTTCATCACACACACAAAATCAATCAGCATCGTACGGGTGCTTGGTATCAATGCCCCTTACGAAAGCACGTGTATGTATATCAATGTGCCTGCGGGCTCACTGTTGGTATGTCAGACTCCGGAGGAGCGCCTCCGGCCCAACCGCTAATCAAAAGCCAATAAGGCCTACTGTGGAATGCAACCCGATCCTCAAAAATAATAAAGCCAATAAGGCCTACTGCGGTGTGCAGCAATATCAACAACAACAACAACAACAACAACAACAACAACAACAACAATAATAATAATAATAATAATAATAATAATAATAATAATAATAATAATAATAATAATAATAATAATAATAATAATAATAATAATAATAATAATAATAGTAATAATAATATAGCCAACATGGCTTGCTGCGACGTGCAGCTGGATCACAATAACACTCTCCATACGACTCTAAGGCCCACCTCAGTCATCAACCTCTCAAGTCTCAAGGTCTCACAATCTCATATCACTCAGCCCAATAGCACCACATATGGGAAAACGGTGATAACATGCGAAGTAATAATGAATGATGAACAGAGACTGAGATATGATATGCAAATGAAGAATCATGACTAAGTGTATAGTTACAGTTAAATCAAATAACTCAAAACAACAGAGATAGCCTCGTCAGGTCTTAATAACATAGCCTAAATATGCTTTCTAACATGAATCATAGCTCAATTAATATAACAAGTTGGGAAAACACATATAAAACAAGACAAGATAGCAATATACTACAAATATCAACCTGGATAACAATTACACCAGTGCACGCCCACACGCTCGTCACCTAGCATGTGCACCACCCCAACACATCATAAATAATATGGTTCCCAGGGAATACCCTCAATTCTATGCTGAGAAATGTTACATACCTCGAACAAGCCAAATTAAATACCGAGCAAGCCAAAAAATACTCTCACCACCAAATGGCTCGAAACTAGCCAAAAGCAACTAAAAACATTAAAAGGGTGTTTGGCTAAGCTTATAAGCTGGTCA